ACTTTAGAATAGTCTGTAGATCCCTCCATAATGTGGCCCTCACTGACGTTGTCAGTCTTTTCTCTTAATTATCTAATTAAATGGGAATAATAGTGCCTACTTTATGGGCAAAGTGAAATGTATGATCTTTAATTTATATATATTTATATAATAGACACTGCATAATAGTTGTCATTATTCTTTTGTTGTGTAATAACTATTAGCAGCTTTTGTTCTACATGTCTTCCTAGAGCACACTTGCTCATCTTTCATGAATCAATGTAAAGATCACTTCCTCCTTGAATCTTTTCTTGCTGTGCCTGTAGACAGGACTACTCCCTAGTTTTGTCACCATTTTATTTTTATTACATGTCTGTTATTGCACCGGCCATATTTAACTTTATTTGTTTTTAGGTTTTATATACCTGGTTTCCAACCTGGAGTCTGGCATTTATTTATTTGCTAGATAAATAACTTGTATTCAGAAGTTCATTTATTTGGTTTCTAGTATTTATATATATTTAAACTATTCAACAAGTATGTCAGTCACTGTGGTAATCATATGCTTATTAATAAGATTTCTTCAAGGGGAGTGTGAAATGAAGTGAAGATACATTATTGTCAAAAGGAAAAGTAATGTAGGAAGTATAAGTATGTATTTTAGATTATGAATATCATTTATGAACTTCTAGGATCCCCTTCTGTGGGACACATTGATGCTTCTTGGTGCTCTCAGCAACTCATCCAGGTCCTAGCAGTATCTACAATAGCAATACTTTATTCTTCTCTGACAGTGGTGACGCTGACCCATTTATGTTCATCATACTGACACTTGAACATGGATTGGAGTCTTGAAGACTAGGTTTGAATCCCAGCTCTTGTCGTTTCTAGGAGTCTGATCTTAAGCAAGTTACTCACGAGTTTCATTTTTTCATCTGAAAAATAGAGATAATACATGCCCCACACAGCGTTGTAGGGATTAAATTATGTACATAAAATAGCATTGGTTTCTAGAATGTAGTAAATGTTTTTTCTTCAGTGAAATCATTTTAATTCATTTAACTTTATTTCTGTGGAATCAGACTGAGCATTTGTTTGGCTTTGAGTGGAGGAAGAAAAGGTGGAATGTAACAATAGTGTTGATTGCGGACTTTGGTTAAGATTTATTCTGTTCAGCTGATTCCTTTTTCCTTAGTGGAAAGTGCTGGTCTTGATCCAGAGAAAAAAGGAATTCTCAGTTTATAATGCTAAAAAGATATATCATGTTGCATTTAATACAAGGTAAGGGCACTCAGGGGAGGAAATTTGTCTTAGTTGGTCACATAGGGTGCCTAGTACCAAGCACAGGGCCTGGCACATTACAGGCACTCTGTAGCATGTTTAAATGAACGAGTGAATTTCTGTTTTGATGAGAAACATCTGCTGGCTATGGAGTACATGATGTACACTGGTGCATTTTGGGTAGTTAAGGTAGATGTCTATGAGATGTTGGCAGAGGAGAAAGATTTTGGTATTTTAGCAGTTGTCTTTGAAACCATTATACCTGATTCATTATATGCATGGATCTTTTATAAGAGTTTATGTATTTTAAGAGAAATTTAGGTCAGCTTAATTTGAATTAAAATGATCACTTGTGCTGAATTAACCTAGAAGGGAAACAAATGAGAAAGAAATGAAAAGGACTTTATAATAGGTAATAGAGTTCAGAATTCACAGCTATTCTAAGTTAGATTTTAGGCCTTAAGTCATTTTACCAAAAGTAAATAAAATTTTATGTGGAGAAATGGATCACTCTTGCCATATCCTCAATTCCTGTCTTTCCTTTCCTTCTGCTGCTCCAATTTGCCTCCTCCATTCCTTGGAGGCATGAAATGTTGAGTGCAGCCAGGATCACAGTAGCATTTCCTGACTGCTGTGCCTCCCAGTCTTGCCTCGATCCTATCTATTTTCCACTGTCACCAGAACGGTCCTTTTATAATGAATCTGATTGTATTAGTCCTCTCCTTGAAATCCCTTATGGGCTTCTCATAGTTTCTAGGATAAAACTCCAAATTCCTTAATATCTGACCCCTTCTTACCCATCACCTACCTGATCCCCTGTCTTTTTTCCACATGTTCTTTGTACTCCAAACATATAAACAGTTGCATTTATCTGAATATTCCATGTTCTTTTCATGCCACTGAACATATGATGTTTCTTTTTTCCAGGCTTGCGTTTCTCTCCTTCCCAAGGTCAACTACAGGTCACTTAAAACTCCCCAGGGTTACCTCTAGAAAACTTCTGACTTTTCCTTCGTAGTCTGGATTAGGTGCCCTTCCTCCATGCTCTCATAACACTCTACAATTAATCTTCTCAGTGATAGCTAACCAAATATATTGTGGTAGTCTGCATGCCTTCTTTCTCACTAGACTGTGAGCTTTTTTGAGTACAGGATACTGTTATCTATTTAATGCCTAATGCCTGTCACTGATTTGTACAGTATAGAAGCCTAGAACTTTGTGATTTAATGTCTGAAGTAACAGAATTTATCAGGGGGCACAAAATGTACCCAGCTAAGTCCTGAGTATTATGTGAACATGTGAGAAACGGCAGAACATGGTTTCTGCCCTGTTCATAAGCTTAGTTGTATGAACAAAATGACACATAAAGCAATTGGAGACTAGTAAAGTACATCATTAAGTGAGGATTTAGGTAGAATGATTTGAGAATAAAGATATAATCCAAAATTTCAAATCTGTTGGCGTTTCTTGTCTGCTCTTTACTCTTTTTCTCCTTAATACTTACCCCTACTAACATGCTATGCCTTTTACTTATTTATTTTGCTATGCTCACCTCCTCAACTAGAATGTAAGTTTTATGAAGAATTTTTATCTCTTCTGTTCACTATGGTATTTCTAATGCCTGACACATGGGAGGTGCTCAGTAGATTTTTGTTGAATGGATGGAGTGGTGTTCAGAGAAGGAAATAATTACCAGGAGATAGTATTTCTGAAATACTTCATGGACAAGTTACATCCTGAAGTAGACCTTGAAAGATAGTGTTTTATTAAATAACTTGTTTATTAAATAAGTTAAGTAAAAAATTACGAATTTCATTTTTATAGGAATTTTTTTCAGGTCATATGTTCTTCCTAACTTTCTCTTGAAGCTTTATAAAGTTTCTTCAGCCCTCACTGTTGACTTCTCTTAGAGAGTTTGACAACAAAGCCTATTTAATTAGAGTGAGTGATGCTGGCCCTTTCCTTATATACTAGTTGCAATAACACTTTCACTTCATATGTTTATTAGCAAAATAAAATATGTGTAAAAAAATGTGTAAAATATCTGTAAAATATGTGTAAAAAAATGTGTAAAGAAATCTGCTGGAGGGTATAGCACATTGTGTACACATCTTCTTTATACCATATGTTATGATACCTGAGAGTTTATCTTTTACTTTACATCCATTCAGAATAATTACAAATGAATTCGAAATCACAGGCATATCAAGGTTCTAGTGGTTTTGTGGATTATGGATGATAATTGACCATTATGCATATAACTTCTTAGATTTTAGCAAATCTTGATCAGAGTTGTAAATATTTATATATACAGGTATAGGTCACATAACTTATAATTGCATTTTGCGTTTTTTTAGAATTTCCTTTTCTGTTTTCTTGCCTTCCAAGACTAAAGAAATTAAAATTAGATTTTGAATTAAAACTATTAAAAATGTTAAATCACCAAAATGGGTTATAACTGGAACATGTAGGTAATACAGGTTTGCATTGTTCTTTAGAAAAAAAGTTATTAGTATTTATGGTCTCCAGCACTGGTTTTTCTTGCAATTTTTTTTCCTAAGCACAGAATTAGATATTCTTAAGCCGTTGTAGTTGCAGTAGAGCTTAGTAAGCATCTAGTCTACTCACTTTATTTTAGAGGTCAGGTAACTAAGATACAAGGACAAGTGATTTGTCCACATCAGTTAATTCATAACAGGGCCAGAATGATAAACTGATTTTTAACTACTGTTGAGGAGATAATCAAATTTTGGCTAACCCTTCTATCATGCTAATAACCACTTTAAATTTTAAGCCCATACTATTTCTAGAAATACATGTCAATCTGATGACATTTTGAAAGGATATTATTTTAGTGACCTGGTTGAATAGTGGAAGTACGTTTGTGGAATTTGTCAATCTACCATCAGCCAGATTGGATGAGTGAAGTTTGGCAGTACTTTTCCATTTTGGTACATAGGCTGTTTACTGTTTAAATCAATAGGAGGTAATTTTTATTAAGCTGATTTTTTAAGTCATTAATAACCCTACATACTCTCTAAATTGTTAGTTTTTAACAACCTGAATGTGAGGATTTACACATTTTCCATAGGAACAGGTTTAACCAATAAATGTATATTAAGGAAAACATGAGGAACAAAATTTTTAACAATTCAGTCTTTTTCTGTTGGATTTTCCTTGTTGAATTTAAGAAGATATATATTTAAAAATACCATGAGTGGACTCTTGGATTCTCTTAAGAAGAAAAAATGAAAAAAAAGTTTCTAAGGATCATGTGAATATTCTACATTTCCTTTTCTTGTATTATTTGTGATATTTTCCTAGGACTTACATTTTAATTAAACTGGATTATATAAAAATTACACCTTGTATTCTGTGATTTCTTTTTTTTTAAGGAGGGAGTTCATTTGTTTCTTGGGGGACTAATTAATAAATATAATGGGTTGGATAAGAAGAAAATGGTTGGGGATATGGAACAATGTAGGCAACCTGAAGTTAGTACTGGTGTAACTCCTGGTTGTAGCTGCCTAATATCAAGTAAATTCAATTATTTATTTTCAGTCAATTGTGTTCATATATTATACTTTTCATGTGAAGAATACTCTGCTAGACTCTTTAAAGCCTCTTAGGTTGACTTAGTCTGAAGTTTAATTTGTTGGTCTTCTTTTAAATTACATTCCCTTAGCTGTAGCCTCTGTTTTGGCATGGCAAGTTAGTAATTGCTCTTTGTTCTATTTCAGATCCCTGCATGTCACTGAGTCCACCGTGCTTCACAGAAGAAGATAGATTTAGTCTGGAAGCTCTTCAAACAATTCATAAACAAATGGATGATGACAAAGATGGTGGAATTGAAGTAGATGAAAGTGTTGAAGTAGGTGGAAAAACTTTTTCCCTTGTATTCTCTTAAAACAGAATGACCGTTTTTAGTCTTAAATTTTCCTATTATTCCTTATCTGACTCAGCTCCTTCATTCAGCATCTTTAGTTTTTCTCTTTACGTTTTAATTTTATCTTTAGTTTTTCTCTTTACGTTTTAATTTTACTCTTTGTATTTACATGGTTTTCCTTTTCTCTTTTTTCTCATATGTATACAAGTCTTCCCAGTTTTATAAGAATCTTCAGTCTCATGTTCTTGGATTTCTCAAACATACATCCTATTTTGATTATATCAGTTATTATTGGTGCTTTACAAATCACCACAAAATCTAGTGGTTTAATACGACAACAGTTTATTATTTCTTCTGAGTCTCTGAGTTGACTGGGCTCAGCTGGGCACTTTTTCTGTTCCCTTAGGTGTGGGCTGGGGTCACTATGGCAGTTGTGTCAGTTGGGAGCTCTGCTGGGGCTGGAATATCTGAGATGACCTCTTATCCTTCAGAGTCTCTCTCCATTCTGGAGTCTAGCTCAAGCTTCCTTACAGCATGGCAGCTGGCTGCGAGTGGCAGTGCTCCAAGAAAACAAGTTCCTGTGTGAAAGTGCTTATCATGCCTCTGTTTGCCAATGCCTGTTTATCAAATGGGCTTAACACAAGTTATTTGGCTAAACTCAGAGTCTATGTGGGAGAGGATCAAACAAGGGTATAAATACCAGGAAAAGGGTTTTATTGGGGGTCATCAATGTATTAATCTGCTCTACTCACTGTACAAGTAAATAATGCTTTATTTCTTAAGCATTCTCATCTTACCCCTGTCTGGTGTCCCTCTTAGTTTCTCTGTAGGAGTTGTTTTCTTTATTCAGCTGTGGTTTCATTCTAACCGAATCCCCTGGTCATTTTTTCAGGCCTCTTCAACCTCTTTGTTGTATTTGTCGCTGTTGAAATGCTTCTCTTTTAGTTTATATAATACTAAATTACATTATTATCTAATGTTATATAATAATGACATCCTCTGATCACATTGTTATCTGACAGTAACATTCTCTCAAGATCAGTTCTTAACCTGCGGTATAAAACTTTTACCTTGAGAATGCTTATCCATTTTTAGGTTGCTCCTAATTCCTCTGTCTCTAAGCCAGTCCAGATTCGTGACCTATGTGTATTGCTTTCTGCCTGATATCTTGTGAGGACTCTTACTTTTGCTTTCAACTTAGTTTGTCTAAATCAAAATCCCAGCTCTTCTCTTTGAAACGCTTCACTGTTCAATGGTACTTCTGGACCTACTTCTCCTCAATTCTTATTCTTCTAAATCAGGAGTTGGCAGACATTTTCTGTAAAGGGCCAAGGTACGGGTGGAAATGTGTTCCCCTTCAAACCATACTTTGAAGCCCTAACCTCTAGTACCTCAGAATGTGACCTTATTTGGAAAGAAGGTCATTTCAGATGTAATTAGTTAACATGAGGCTATATGACCAGTAATCCAATATGACTAGTGTCATTGTAAGAGAGGAGAACACCATGTGGAGATACAGACACAGGGGAGAAGATGATCATATGACAGTGGAGGCAGAGATTGGAGTTATGCAACTACAAGTCAACGAATGACAAGAATTGCTAGTGGCAGCAGAAGCTATGAGAAAGGTATGGAAATTATTGTCCCCTTAGAGCCTTAGAGGATGGCCCTGCTTATACTTTGATTTTAGACTTAGAGCCTCCAGAACCGTGAGAGAATAAATTTCTGTTCTTTTAAGCAATCCGGTTTGTAGTACTTTATTACAGCAGCCCTAGGAAACTAATACAGGCCAGCTAGTAAATACTTTAGATTTTGTGGGCCATATGGTCTCTGCTGTAACTACTCAACTTTCCCGTTGTAGTGCCAAGCAGCCATAGACAATACATGAACTAATGGGCATGGCTGTGTTCCAGTAAAGCTTTATTTGCAAAAACAGGCAGCAGGCTGTAGTTTGCTAACCCCTTCTGTCTTGTGTTCTTAAAATTGATTTCTTTTTCTTCCTTTCTCACTTCTCTGTTCTAGTTGTTTACATGCTCTGTTTTAATCTGGGGGTTTATTATTTTGTGCCTAGATTATTACCTCTAAGTTTTTCTTCTCCAATCCATCATGCATATCACTTGGAGAGTGTTTTCTCTAGCTAAGAAACTTAACAATGATTTCTTATTGTTTATTAGATCAGGTAATAACTCTTCAGTCTTAAAGTTAATGTCTCAGCATCATCTGATTTCTGCTTACTGAGATAATCTCTTCTCATTGTGATTAAATTGTTTTGGTTAGAGCTCAGTTCCATTAATACCATAATCATAGCTTTCAGTTCTAAATAGTCCAATTTATTTTATTCATTTCTAGAACCACAGATGACAGGATAATCCTATTTTACATTGTTTCTAACTTAAAAAGTATTTGAAGTATGTAAATATATTCTCTTGGTCATGAAGTACAGTGAAATGAAATTGGATTATCAAGAGTTTTACTGTTGCTAGAAAATAAAGTAGTTGTCATTTATTGTGGGTCATTTTATTATATCGAGTAATTCATTCTCTCAACATCATCATCATTCCTTCTCTCTGTCCCAATAAGTGCGCGCACACGCACACACACACATTAAAACAAGCTATAAGATTACTTTTTAGTAATAATACTTGGGATTATTAGTGATGAATTGTTCTTTCTAATCCTCCCAAGGTTGTCTAAGTGGTTTATTTAGTTGCCAATATAGTTGCTTAAGAATGTGAATATCAAATATGTGAACATAAACTCTATTTACTTTATAAATTATTACTATCCTTATAAATTATGGATTAAATAGAATTTATATTTGCATATTTGATTCTCTTTGTAGAGAGAATTATTCTCTAGGCTAAATAGATTTCCTAAAATAATTGTTCTACATTTTTTTAGTCATTTACAGTATGACAGTATTAGTTTTATCAAATTCCATGTCAGCTCTGAGAGTGAATAGTGTTTAGTAGATGAATGCCCTGTGCAGTTTTCTAATTGTGTCCAGCAATTAAATTGGAGATAACTTTTAGCATTAAACCTTGTGGTGCTGTACTGAAAGGACATAATTTTCAGTTATCACACTGATGGTGCTAAGTTTTCCTTTGATGTTAGTATTGCTTGAGGACCTAATCATTGCTTAGCTTTGTTTTAGGTTAGGAAACATATTAATGCTGAAGGATTATTTTATGGGAAGGGAGAAGTGGGATTGAAAGAGCATATGTGATTAATTTTGAGAGTTTTAGTCTTATAAAATATTTGAAAATACTGGTGTACAGTTTCACTTTTTAAAAGTTGAATAGTTTTAGATAGCTGCATTTCAGAAATTACAGATTGACATATTAAGATTGGTTAATTTTAGGCCTAGAAAAAGGCTAAATTCTTTATATTAAAAAATCACCTTTGTTAATTGATATATCAAGTTATAAATATTGCTACTCTTGGTTGTTTTCTGACACCAACCAATTCTTTAATTCTCCGACACCACGTGGGTTTCCAGTAACTCATTTCAGTTCTGGCACCATCCCACCGAACTGCCCCCACTTCAGATGCCAGTCACAAGTCTCGGGTCATGCATACTTCTGACCAACTGTCTATAAATCTTGGATTCCCATGACTCCTTCCTCAGGTTTGATAATATGCTGGAGTGGCTCACAGAACTCAGGAAAACACTTTACTTAGGTTTACTGGTTTATTATCATGAAGAATACAACTTGGCAAAGCCAAATGGAAAGGATGGATAGGACAAGGTATGGTAGGAGGGGCACAGAGCTTCCATGCCCACTCTGGACATGCCACCATCCCACCACCTCCATATGTTCACCAACATGGAAGCTCTCAGGATCTTGAAGTTCAAAAGTTTTTACATAGCTCAGTTTCCCTAGAGGTCAGGTGGGTGGGACTGAAAGTTCCAACCCCCTAATCACTTGGTCTTTCTGGTGACCAGCCTCATCCTGAGGTGATCCAGGGGCCATAAGTCATCTCATTAGCATGAATTCAGGTGTGATCTAAAGGGGTGAAAGACATTCCTATCACTTAGGAAATTCCAAGAGTTTTAAGAGCTCTGTGGCAGGAATCAGGGACAAAGACCAAATATAGTTCTTATGATATCACACTTACAAAAATATTTAAATCTGAAAAAAGTGTACATTTTCTTAATCATTAAAAATACCTTCAAAGGAAAGATCTGGTAAAATTGTATATATATAGACAGAGAGGTTTTAAGTAAGCTTATGCAGATATTTGACAGCCTATTTGAATATATTTGATTGCGTAATAGTTCCTAGACTTGAGTTATTTTAATTGTTTTTACCTCATCATCAGATATTAAATGCTCAAACCTGTGAAATGTTATCATTATCACTGTGCCAGACAGAGTAAGTGTACATGGCTATGTAATTTATACTTCAATGGAGTTCTTATTGAGTCTTTTAAATTTCAGTGGTATTGCAAACATTTTGTAATAAAAGTTAGGACTAAAAACTTTATATTAAAAAGTAAGACACGTTAAAAGAGCTTAGAATTCTATCAGTATGATAGATGAACTTGAACGATTAGAAAAAGATGATCTCTTTCTCTCTGTATTTCTTCTAATATTAACACTTAAAAGCAAATACAGTATACCTCTATATTTGATTAGTTCCTAAAAGAGTCAGAAATCCACTGTCCAGTATGGTAGCTACTAGCCACGTGTGGCTGTTGAGCACTTAAAATTGAGGTGTGTTATAAGTGTCAAATACACTTTAAATTTTGAAAATTTATGTGAGAAAAAGAATGTAAAATATCTAAATTTTAAAATAGTACATGTTGAACATGATAATATTATGGACATACTGGATTACATGACATATAATGTAAAATTAATTTCACTTGTTTCTTTTTACTTTTTAATGCAACTTCTAGAAAATTTAAAATCACATATGTAGATCACAGTTTATTTCTATTGGACAGCACTGATCTAGAGACTGGTGTGTTGTAGGCTTTAA